CGTTAGATCAATTATTTATGACGGTTACATTGATGATTTAACGATTATAAACCCGACAGAATGGATCCGTAACGGAACCGTAACATTTCCTAGATTTATATATTTATTTTTTTATAACACTAATTTTTAAAATTATTCATATTTATTAATGTCTAATATAGTGATCTTACGATCACAACTTTCCCAAAATATGAGAACACCTTGAAAATAGTATCGGATGCACAAATTTTCTCATTATTCTTTACCTTTCAGAAGCCAAACCAACCGAATTTGACGGGTTCAAAATACATATGACAATGGAAAAGGTAAACAAAAGCATGCCACTTGTCAGCATATGTCACGTTCTCATGTGATTTTTTTTTTTTTTTAACTGGATGGGCGAATCCAGACCGTCGGATTAGTTCAGAAAACGGAATTGATGCCTAGACAACTTTTGTTTGGAATAATCAGGCATACGGTTATATGTGAGGGAGGCTCTTGTTAACTTCTAGGATAAATTTAACCTAAGCTATAATGTCTAAACCAACATGAAACAATATATTTTATACCTTTAAAAAAACGATTACAAAGATCAATGACACTGCACATACTGACTAATTAAAACATTAAAAAACTGACTAATAATTTTTTATTTTTTATTTTCGACTGAGAAGTATCTTTACATTCATTTCACGACTCACTGCAGCCCATAAACTAACGGTAAAGAGTCTGATATAGCACAAGAAAGCATTTTAGGTAGACCGGCAGAAATCAGCTCGATTTTATGAGCCGGAAGGATGCTGGTAGGTTTGTTGGTCGGGCAGATGCAATAGTCTAGCAAGGTGTAGGTTTGGACCATTAACAACATGTGTGGGCTCGGCCCAATAACGGCTCGGCCAGGTGCATGGGTTAAACAGGTTGAAGAGATGGGCTGGCACTTAAATGGGCTGGCACATTAACGAATAGAATGAAGAAGAAAGCGTGCAGAGGAGGCTAGGGAATTACATATAAATAGGTGAATCAGATATGACGGTAAGGTCTAAGTTATTACCTCACAAAAACCCTAATATACAAACTGAGCTTTTCTCGATACCCTACTAACTTGAGCGTCGGAGGTTTACCGCCGGGAACAGTTCTCGGCGTCTTTGCAGGTTTTTTGAGGGCTCAAGTGGGTGGAGACCAAGGAAGGTCGGTCAAGTGTGCAATAACACATCAATTTGGGTAGACTGGCAGAAATCAGCTCGGTTTTATGAGCCGGAGGGATGCTGGTAGGTTTGTTGGTCGGGCAGATGCAATAGTCTAGCAAGGTGTAGGTTTGGACCATTAACAGCATGTGGGGGCTCGGCCCAATAACGGCTCGGCCAGTGCATGGGCTAAACAGGTTGAAGAGATGGGCTGGCACTTAAATGGGCTGGCACATTAACGAATGGAATGAAGAAGAAAGCGTGCAGAGGAGGCTAGGGAATTACATATAAATAGGTGAATCAGGTATGATGGTAAGGTCTAAGTTATTACCTCACAAAAACCCTAATATACAAACTGAGCTTTCCTCGATACCCTACTAACTTGAGCGTCGGAGGTTTACCGCCGGGAACACTTCTCGGCGTCTTTGCAGGTTTTTGGAGGGCTCAAGTGGGTGGAGACCAAGGAAGGCCGGTCAAGTGTGCAATAGCACATCAATTGGCGCCGTCTGTGGGACTTAATTACTATTTTCTTCTACCGATTGAGGATACGAGGATGACGAACACGATCGTGGATGAGCAATCAAGGAAGAACTTGAATGATAGTTTAGATGGGGCATGGGTAGCGAAGACGCCCTATGGTGGAGGGTTGCCAAAGGGATGGGTTGCCGGAGAGAGCTCGATGACTACGCCACTATTACGATAAAAGGGGTACCCCCAGTTCCCCCATCGAATCAGGAGCAGGGGTTGGCGACCCAGGGAGCGGGTCAGGAGATGGTGATACGAACATCGGTGCCATAAGTAGTGTCGGAGGGTGGAGGGTCGGTGATGCAGATGACTAGAGAGAGTTGGATCGCAGTGTCGCGAAGGCGGTAGGTCGGGCATTGGCTACGCGAGACGCGGCGATAGTGGAGAAGCCTGCCGCGATAATAAAAAGGTCGTATGCGGAGGCGGAGCGATCCGTTGAGGTTGTGGAACGGCCTATTGTAGCTGGGGAGCGGCCAGCTTCTAGGGTCGAGCAGCATGTCCCCGGGTTGTCTAGGCCTTTAAGAGGAGGTAGTCACCGCAGGGAGGAGCAAGAGGAGAGGTCAATGGTTCCGAGGCTATCTAGGGATGCTATGATGGAGCAGATCGAGAACCAAATTAAAGAGCTCCAAGCAAGGGTAGAAGGCAGGTGGCATCTCAGGATGCAAGGCCATCCCTTCACTGATGACGTCTTGGGTGTTGATTTACCGCACAATTTTAGGGAGCCGAGCATATATTACGATGGGTCCTCAGATACGGCAAGGTATTTGCAGAGTTTTAAGGGGAGTGATCCATATGATAGCTGGGGGGCCGACAGATGAGGATTCCAAGGGGGCTAGGCGAGCTAACTTAAGAGCAGATTGGGAGAGTGTAGCGGAGGTCCAGATTGCTCATGTCATGCCATAGTTTAAGTTTGGTGCGGCAGATTCTCAGGGCATATTGGTTCCCCATAACAATGCTCTGGTAGTGACAACGGAGATTGCGGGCTATGACGTTGAGAGGATTCTGGTGGATACGGGCAGTTCTGCTAACATAATGTTCTACGAGTGTTTTCGGCGGATGGATTTAGGTGTGGAGATCACCCCAATCAAGACCTCATTATTTGGCTTAAGTGGGGCGGAGGTAGTGCCACTTGAAGAGGTGCAATTGACGATGGCGTTGGGAGCTCCTCCTCTGAGGAAGGTGAAGATGGTGCGGTTCTTGGTGGTTAAGGTAGAGTCGGCTTATAATGTTATCGTGGGGCAGCCTAGCTTGAATTCGCTTCAGGCAGCAGTATCAACATATTGCATGAAGATGAGATTCTCGGTGGGAGAGCTGGTAGATAAGGTCACGGGGGACCAACGGTTGGCTAGGACCTGTTACCAAACAGTGTTGAAGGCGGGTAATAAGAGGAAAGGCAGAGACGAGAGCACAGTTATGCGGGAGGGCTTGATCAAAGAGGCCAGAACGGAGATGATCTCACTGGATGAGGTAAGGGAGTAGATGTGTTGCACCATTTGGAGAGAAGTCTTTTAGAAAGCGTTGGCTGTAAGGTTTTATGAGCTAAAGGATCCAAAGGGTAAGGTCTTTCTCAAGCCTTGTTACTCTCAAGAAGTATTTGTTGTTATACGATTTTGTAACAACAAAAATGTACACCCCCCTTCCGTGAATAAGGGGTATACGGTTTATATGAATTGGTAGAGATTTGTGGGAGAGAAAGATCTATCCCTTTTTCTTTGTTTGTTGGTGTTTGCTGTATAATATTGTGATCAAGAATTCAAAAGAATTGAACACAGAAAGTCAAGAAAAATGAAAAAAATGATCTGTATCTTATTTGTTTGTATTATTGAATGATAGAGAAATCTGGGGAAAAATCCCTGAGGCGGTGCCTCCTTTTAGTGTAGATAAAGCAGAAAACGAAAAAGCCTCCCGTAGTTATCTGCTCAGCCCCTATTTATATTTGGGCTAATGGGCCTGTATATCTAATGGGCTTATACGATAAAACATGACCGCGCAGGGCCCAATAAATATGACCACGCAGGGCCCAATAAATATGACCACGCAGGGCCCAATAAATAAATAATAGCTCCGACTGATATTTGTCTTGTCAGCAATTGACGTGTCTGTATAAGCGGCTTATTTGTGATATCAGGGTTGAGCTGGCGGTCTTTTGGATGTGGACCTCGTCTTCTGCGAACTCGGTCAATATAAATCAGATAAAAGAACCTACTATTCATATTTATTTAATATATATATCCACGTGTAATATTTTAATAGACGAGGCCAAAATTAGGTAACAACAGTAGGCCCCCGACTTTAGAATACGTTCTGAATAGAACTGTTCTGAAGTCGCATGTAAAAGCAATTTTGGCTGACTTATGCTGCATAATTTGTCTGAATGCTGTGACGTATGGACGTCGTCCGGGTACTTTGGGACCCGTAGTCGCTTTATTGCTCGTGTTCAGGCTTGACCTGACGTATTAATGTTAATCGTGTTTTTGTTCTGATGAATGAAGTTGACTGCGTGGATAGTTAACTTTTAAAAATGGCTATAAAAATAGAGGCCTGGATGGCCTAGTCGGGTAATTGGGTACCCAATTTTCACGTTTTGCACGTAATATGACGCATTTCATAGATTCGCGGCCGTAATGATA